GGTGATGCTGCCCGGCCCTCTGAAGTATGACGTCATCAGAAGTATAAGTTGATGAAACGGAACTGAAAAGCTCTCTCGGACGACGCATCGCGCGCCGGTGGCACTCTCTCGGCCCACGTCTCTCGTCTGACATCGCGGACAGCCCACGAGACACCAGCGGCTGGCATCACGGCGCCGGCGCGGCGGCGGCTCTGGCCGCCGGGCCGGGCGCCATGGACGGACACGACCATCACGTCAGCGACTCCATCTCAAGTAAGGTCACGCGGTGAACACGGGTGCGCACCTAGTCCCTAAATCCTTCGAGTAACCCCCCCCCCCCCCCTCGTTACTGCTATGTGAGCCACATTATATTCCCTTTTTGGTGTCGTCCGCAATATTTTAGGCCATTCAGTTTAGGTAGTTCATTTTATTTTGGGGACATTCAGTCTAGGTAGCTTAAATTAACGGTCCGATTTCGGTCAATTATTTAACTATGGGCGTGGTGCGGGACGCGTGCCGACGTGGAGTGGACCCTCGTCCGGCGCCCGTGGTGATTAAGGCGGACGGAGGGGATTATGCACCGTGGGGAGTCGGGAAAGGGACGGGCAGCCGACGCGACTTTGTACCGCACCGCGCGGCGTGTGAGTTCCAATTGCTGGACGGCCTGGTCCCAGAACGCTTCGTAAAATTTAGCATGTAAAGGAATGAAAAGCGTTGTGTCAGGGAGAATGTAAATAAATGGGACTTGTAAATATCGTAATACGAGTGTGACAAGTGATGAAGGGCAGGGACCGGAGGATAGAACATAACAGGCCATATGCCAGCCACACAGTCGGGAAAGCGGTCGTTTTCAAGGTGTCTGGCTCGTCACAGTAATTTACAACGATCAGTTTTCTTTATCTGCTTATTTTACACAGTACACAATTACCAGGATTCTACACGCACACTGGACCTAACCCAACTTGTCTCATACTGGTGGGTTCCACTGGTTGATTTCCGAGGGCTGCTAAGGCGGCTGACCTATTTCCTGCTATACCACATTCCAAGTTCCTTGACATGGCTCGTACCAGTGGATTCCTGGTACTCTTTCCTTATCAAATTATCAAACGGCTAATTACAAGGATTCTACACGCACACTGGACCTAACCGAACGCATTTCACACTGGTGGGTTCCACTGGTTGCTTCCAAGTGCTGCTGAGGCGGCTAACCTATTTCCCACGTCACCATATTCCGAAATTCCTTGACATAGCCCGTACCAGTGGATTCCTGGTACTAATTCCTTATCAAATCATTCAACAGTTCGAATACAAAGATTCTGCAAGCATACTGGACCTAACCGAACGCATTTCACACTGGTGGGTTCCACTGGTTGCTTCCAAGTGCTGCTGAGGCGGCTAACCTATTCCCTACGTCACCATATTCCAAAATTCCTTGACATAGCCCGTACCAGTGGATTCCTGGTACTAATTCCTCATCAAATCATTCAACAGTTCGAATACAAAGATTCTGCAAGCATACTGGACCTAACCGAATTCGTTTTATACTGGTGGGTTCCACTGGTTGATTTCCAAGTGCTGCTGAGGTGGCGAACCTATTTCCTACGTCACCATATTCCAAAGCTCCATGACATAGCCCGTGCCAGTGGATTCCTGGTACTATTTCCTCGTCAAATTATCCAACGGTTCGAATACAAGGACTGTGCACGCACATTGGACCTAACCGAACGCATTGTACACTGGTGGGTTCCACTGGTTGAATTCCATGTGCTGCTGAGGCGGCTAACCCATTTCCTACCTTACCATATCCCAAGTGTCCTTGACATAGCCCGTGCCAGTGGATTCCTGGTACTACCTCCTAAGCAATTCACCAATGTCCCGCACACAAGCACCACGCATATACAAAGTCGCACCTGTCCAATTGCATAATCATCTGATGAATAGGGATTGCGGAACCGGGGAGATAGATGATGCACGTCACGCCCCTGTGCGTGGAAAGTCCACCGACGCGGCTACGGGTTAGGAGGGAGATGAGAAGCGAGTGAAATGGAAGAAGACTGTACACGTAGAGGAATCGGATTTCCTGAATGAAGCTCAGCTCGGATAGACCCCACTTAAATAGTAGGCCTCGCTTGGGTAAGCCCTGGATACGTGCAATAAGTCGCGAAGTGAAGGGAAAGGATGAGAGCGAGTTGAGGATCGATTATTGAGGATGAGTGCATAGCCGACGAAGGCTAATCCGTTCGGTTGCCGGCGCGGGCCCCATAAAGCCGTGGCTATACGGAGACGATGCAGGCAGCCCGGAGGGACCTAGTGACCCCGCCCGGTTTTAAAAGATAGGTTAGGTCCGCTATCGGTCCATTGAGTGATCAGCGCAGGATGACATTCGATAAGCGACGTAGGTAGTTTCGGAGATGGTTAGGACCCCAGGCGTCCCAGCGAGGAGACGTATGCCGCCGGTTAAGTAATGTCCCGCGAAGAAACGTGTGATGCTGCAGGACGGGGGTGAACATTAAATACCAAAGCATGCGAGTCGGGTGATCGCGGTAAGTCGGTGCTGGCCACCCCGCTGTTAGTCGATTTACTCCGGCCGTGCAGCGGTCATTTCGGATAGGTCTGTGACGACAGCTTAACTACCAGCAACGGATAGATAGGGCTTCGGGCACCTATAACGCTGGTAGTCGTGGATTGTGTGAAGCCAACGGAGGCTAACCCGTTCGGTCGCCGGTGCTGTTTCAAAAGCCGTGGCTATACGGAGACGATGCAGGCAGCCCGGACGGACCTAGTTACCCAGCCCGGTTTCAAAGTTTAGATAAGCCCACCGCGGGCCGTGGTACGCTTAGTTTTCGTTTTTTTTTTATAGGCAATTTGGCATAACTGGTAGTCATGGATTCGTGTAAAGCCGACGAACGACTAATCCCTTTCGGTCGCCGGGGGCTGGCCCGAAAACCGCGGCTATACGGAGACGACGCAGGCAGCCCGGACGGACCTTAGTTACCCAGCCCCGGTCTCAAATTTCAAATAAGTCCCCCACGGAAACCGGACTACACAGTGTCCTGCGAGCCGTAGTCTCGGAACCGCTGGCCGAAGGACATTTATGTTTTTGTGTAGGTAGTTCGACATGGCGATGGGATGGACCGCAATAAGTCACGTAAGGCGAGGGTCGAGTGCCGAAATCTGTGGTGGGTCGTATCTCTAATTGTGTAGCGTGAGCATTATGAAGCGTTTGTCTGATGTACGGAACATTGTGGTTATGAAGGGATAATGGTTAAATGAAATTGAAGGCCAATGACTCGATAACGACTTTGCGCGCGCCCTAGCACCACCGGGGGAAGTTAGGAAAAAGGGGAGGGACCGGAGATGGTCAGCTCTGGTAAATTACGAGGTATAAGTGGACGAATGGCAGGGTTATAAGGGGATGGATAAATGGACGAATGATTGATACATATATCTGGTGGGAGATGACCCTCAAGCTAGGAAGGGCGCTGTTGTTTGAGAGTGGGACCTTGGGTTATGTAGAGTTGAGTTCTTATTTCATTGTGATCAAGGTTATTATGTTATCATTTATTATCATCCCATTCCCTAACCCTGGCCTATGTGTTTCCGATGATTGATCGCCCCGGAAAGATAGAGTCTGAGTCGGAACGGGTTCGCGAGGGGCAGGATACAGAGAAGGGCTTCTAGGAGCGCGCCGACGGAGCTCTCAATAACGAAAAACACTGTCCGGGTTAGCTTGCTCTCCATCACTATCGAAAGACACTGCCTGGTTAGCCCCGCAACGCCGCGAAACCCCGCTACACTGACTAAAAATAAAAAATAAAAATAAAAAAAAACTGAAAATGGGGGCACCACCAAAATGAAGTGGACGAAATCCGTTGAGTTTTTAATTTTGGGTATAGGTAGGGGCACCACTTCGATTCATGACCCTCCCCTTGGAGTTTTCCTGGATCCGCCCCTGCTCAAGGGAGAGGGGAAGAGAGTTGGACTCTATAAAGCAGGGAAAATCCGGCCTGGCATTAGATTCTCCCTTGATGTTAGGTTTTAGGCCTCCGCTGTCGTTTTTACTAGCTTGAGTCGGAGACGGGGTAGATTAGACAAGTCAGATCATGCCTGCGATCGTCAAACTTATGTCGCCACTGAACGAGACGTTGTTGAAATTGTAAGGATAGATTAGGATCAGTGCTGGTACTTAGGAATTATTTGGGAAGGGGAGGTTATGACCATTTTTTTTTTTTTTTTTGGGAGCAGGCTACTCATGTGTTCTATCTTGGCGGCAGGGTGATCCGCAGCCTAATACACCAGCTACGTTTTACATGGGCAGGGAAATGACATCTAACAAGCTTGCATTAACTTGTCACTGTGCACCACTGGGGGAGAGTTAGGTAAAGAGGGAGGGAGCGGACTAATAGTCTGGCGTTTTTCTTGTGTGTGAGATGTGTGTTTGAGTGCATGATTATGCTACGTTAGGTTATGTTTTTAGGTTAGGTAGGTTAGGTTAGGCTAGGTTAGAGTGAGTTGAAGTGTGAATGTGGTATATCCAGTGGGAGGTACCCCTCCGTGCAGTGGCCAGGATGTGACTGTGATGTGAAGTGTCGTTTCTTCTGTTTCAAGTAAACGTATTTAAAGGGGGGTCCCAACCGGGTTGAGAGAGAGCCTCGGGCAGCCACCTGATTAACTTATCCTCTTTGAATGCCCATAACCCAATGACCCATCACCGTACAGTGTAGCAGCCTATATGCCCCAGTGACTGACCAGCCTCGCAAATCAAACAAATAATAATATCTTGCCCCGCTACACAAGACTTCAACAAGTTTTGTACCAGACTCTGGCAAACCTTCTACAAGGCTTGCTAAGACTCTGACAAATCTTCAGCAAGACTTGGAACTTGGAAGTCTTATCGAAGACTTGCAAGCCTTGTGCAAGACTTCCAGACACATCGTTGCCCTAAGATATTGTTTCGATTGTATTCATGTCGAGACCCATGTGTACGAAATCTGCAAAGTGAAATGGATAATATGCCAGTGTAAACGTCAAAATCAATATGTATTCATAAAAAATGTATAGCTGAGAACACATATCAACAGCCCTTTACTTTTCGAGTCATCCACACGTCACAGTCACATCACACCATCACACCGTTGACGTCACGTCATGTCACCATTGTCGAGGCCGCCGTTCCGTCTGCATCCAGCTATACTCGTACACATCTTGAGCGAGGATGTCGCCCGTCGAGCCTTGCATCGCATATTATTGGTGAGCCGAGATTCTCGAATGCTGAAATGAAATGTCATTTATATAATCAGGTAATATCCAAAGCCAGATGTGAAAAGGTGAGCCAGTACCTATCAGTCAAAAACTAGAATTGATGGGGCTCATTTTCGATTAAAGATAATTCAGCATATCATAGCTATCATCCTCACGTATCTACCATCCCTGGGCCCAGTTTCACCGTATGACGTTACCGTCAGCACTATTCCCTTTGTGGCATGCAAAAGAATGACAGGCGATCAGCTATTTTTGAGTGAACGTTTCGGGGCTTTTTTTCTGTGATGTTGCAAACATTGAGAATAGGTATTGTTACACAGCAATACAGCATGGCAGAACCTTACCTTCAGGTCGGAAGAGGAGACGGCAGACGAGACCAACACCGCACTGCACACACTCGACACCCCCGTCAGCCGTCCGCACATCGCGAGCGGGCAGTGAATGGGACGGATGGAATGCGGCGGAGGGGGGCGCTCGCGACGCGCGCTCCCCTCTCCGGCGTCTCCGGCCTTCGCCCCAGGCGAGGATCGGGACTGGGAGGGGACGCCCGCCGCCGACCGTACGGTCTCTAAAACGGTCAGTGGTCGCTAAATTCCAGTCGATACAGTCTCTAAAAGATCACCACTGCGCACAAATGCACGCTCAAGTCCCCGAATAATACAGTACAGTAATGCGTTAAATTAAGCTGAGAATGTTATGAAGGGATTTGGGAGTTATGAAGTGAATCGATTCTTTTATAGGGATCAATTCACAATTCGTAATTCCCTATATATCGGGACAATGTTGACAACAACATTCGAATGTTGATGTCCCGCCAGTTCTAATCATGAGATGTGACGTCCTGAGGACTAGGTGAATAAATCCCGGTAGGTTGCAGATTGAGAAGAAATGTCCAGTCCAACTTATCAACGCACCGGGGCGAGGCATTTCTCCCAAGGTACTCCTCATACTTTAGTATGAGGCTTATCAATGGTCATGACCGATCAGCGAGCTGTTAAAAAAAATCTTACAAGTAACCAACAGACTTGCCAGAATCTTGCAAGAAAGATTCTTGCAAGGAAACCACCGCATTCTTACAAGACTTGCAAGATTGGGACAGTCTTGTACAAGATTCCCTAGGCCTTGCAAGACTGTCCTCAGAATCATATAAGATCTTGCAAGATCGAGAAGATTCTTGTAAGATCTTGTAAGATTTTTTCACCTGGGATAGCCTTTTTTGCCATATTTACGGAGTTATACACTTCACCTCACCCATGGTATGGTTATACCACCCTAAAGACTAAAGTCAAAGTAAAATAGGTAGTCTTGGTTTGCGATGGTATGGTTTGAGGTTTCACTGCTTCACTGGTTGGCAAAGATTCTTTCTAAAATTCTTTCCTCACCACTAAAGTGTTTCAACTGCCCCTTAGGATTTGCCAGCGTCTGGTTAGTTTCGTATCGTGCGGATTCGTAACTTACAAACGTCCGCAGACTCACTTGAATCAAGCCATTCCAAGGCCATATAAGCCATTCTTGATTCTTTCACTTGAAAAGGATTATGTTCGTGTGTTTGTCATAAAGGGCGGGGGAAAAATAACCCATATTTGGAAGCAGAAATGGCAGCAATTATAACTAGCGTAACTGGCGCAGATGATTCATATATAAAATTCGTGCGCTGTAGCTGGCTGTAGCGCTGTATGTGGCTGTATGGGTGTTTTGGTGTTTCTAGTTACTCAGATCAAGGCCCTGCTGAATGCTGATATTTGTAAATAATCAGACATGATTCAGTTTTATTCACGATCGATGGCAACACAAGTCAAATTCCTAAAACCAGACGTTTCGGCCACAGGGTGCCTTCGTCAGTGGACACTAGTGATTAAATTAAAAACACATAGTATCAAAAACAATCGGTATAAATCGTTCGAAGTCGACACATCGGGCACATTTTCGAAACCTGTGCCCGATGTGTCGACTTCGAACGATTTATACCGATTGTTTTTGATACTATGTGTTTTTAATTTAATCACTAGTGTCCACTGACGAAGGCACCCTGTGGCCGAAACGTCTGGTTTTAGGAATTTGACTTGTGTTGCCATCGATCGTGAATAAAACTGAATGCTGATATGTAATTTTAAGCAATATTGAGACATTTCATCTGCTGGATCCTTCAAATACTCAAAGCGCTGATAACCGCTGTTTGATAATTGTATTCGAGCTTACAGCTTAGTTCGAGTGACAGTGGAGCAAGTCAAAGATTTAAAATCTCTGAATGTTGAGATCTTTATTTTTATTTTTAGGTTTCCAGCTTAAAGGAGATTAAGGTGAGACTTAGCATGCTGCTGATTATTTAGGGAGGACATATTTGTGTTATGAGGTTATCGGTGGAGCCAACAAATAAGTGCAAGTGCAAGTAAGTGCATTTGCATTTGGTAAATGTCAAGTTTAAGTCCTAAGAAGATTTCATTGATAAATTTTTCATATTTTTACATTATTTGACATCCTGAATCCAAAAATGATACTCATATGCCTCGCAAATAAAAGAAAAAAACATAATCAAACCTGACCTAACCTTACCTACTTACCTAATAACCTACCAACCTACAACCTACAAACCTACCCTAACCTAACCTAACCTACAAACCTACCTACCTACAACCTAAAACCTACAAACCTACAACCTAACCTAACCTAAAACCTAAAATTTTTGCTGTTTCATATTTGTATCAAAAGTGCCACAATTGTAGTTAGGACCTAAACTTGACATATACCGTGCAGGCAAAAGTGCCACAATTGTAGTTAGGACCTAAACTTGACATATACCGTGCATTTAGTTATTTGTTGATCCTTGATAATATAATATGACAGTAAAAAATCTCAATCTGAGCGCTTATGGATAGAAGTGCTAAACTTTAAGGGCCTTTTTCCCCGGCTGGCCCATAAAGATAACATCTCCCAGAGAAAAATGAACCCGGCCCCATCGATGACGTCACAAGGTCAATAATACTAGACACTTGCATGGTAAATTTCCACGTCACAGACGTGATATTTAAATATCTGTAAAAAATAAAGTTTTAGGGACAAAAACGAATTATTGATCACAGTTGTGAAGCTATGACTTAGGTAAAAATGTGAAAAAATGTTTGGTGACTTGAGTTCAGACATCAGAGGCCAGTTTTACCTACTTAAAATAGCTGCCAGCCGGATTTTTTTTCCTAAAGACCGCTTCACATACGGAGCGTAAACGTGATGAGCATGTAAGCGGATAAGGTTTTACCATTTATGCTCTATGTGTGAAGCGGTCTTTAGGCAAAAATTCCGGCAGACGCCAGACGGCTATTTTTCTGTTGTTAAAACTGGCCTCCGGTCAACGACTCCGACCTGGAAATTCAGTTTTTGTTTTTGTTTCCCAAATAACTTCAGCAAAAATGGCCCTAGGGCCAAAACAGCGCTACGTCAGCCTTCCGTCACCGCACACAGCGACCGCTAGTGGTCGGTCGGGACCGGCCACAGGGGACTGTCCACGGCACGCAGCCGTGACGTCAGAACCACCTACCCATCCCCTACCCCCCCCCCACACACACACGCCTGCTGCACACACCGCACTCAGCAGTTTGCACTTTGCGGTACCCGTGAACGCCCCTGCGCGGGGCAGTCGCACACACATCACACAACAGTGGCACAGCGTCTTACCCCATTCTTCCCTACCTATATTGTTAAGAAAAGGTCAAGTTTTTTGTTGACCTCTTGTGACCTTGAATGCCCTTTGGTTGACCTTGACACATTAAAGGTGCTTTATGATGAATTCGTAGCCGCTGATGACGAATCTGGCATTCATTTTGCGCTAAGCATCCATTTAGTGCGCCAGGATAGCATAAATTGAATTATTATGACTGACTTCAGTGAAATAGCCTCTAGCAAGGATAGGTACCTTCTTTTGCCCGAACCTACCCTTGGGTAGCCTTGCCTCTTAACATGAACCACATAAAGGTGCCTGACGACCTTAACCCTCGCCCGTAAACGGTGTTTTGCCACCTTCGCCCATGCAGGGGGGGTGCGACCCCCCCGGCGTTTGAAAACGGAGCGTCGTAGAGCTTAGCGGAAAAGACCAACGGATTGCTCTCAACGAGATCTCGCGATTGGTGGTATATTTTTTGGTCCTAGGTCAACATTTGACCTACTTATGACCGGTCAAAGGTCAAATTTTCGAAAAATCTAACTTTTCAGATTTCCGCGCCGATTGCGGCAAAACGGTAAGAGATATCGACTTGAAACCTTCACTAATCACTATCGTGATTCTTGATCAATTCTCTATCGTTTGGTGTGTATTTCGATGTCATAACTCTAAAAATGATGCGTTGGGAGCATCGGAAGTCTTGCAAGGTCATTTGTGCATTGGGTCACGTGACGTCAGGCGTGTGACGTCACTGACCTGACCCTGACCCAAAATGAACTACAAGAAACAACCGACGATGCCTGAAATGGATAGCAAATTCGAATTCAGGGCATCAAAATACCCCGAAAAGGCATACAAGTGCAAGAAGTCATTACAGGTCAACCGAGGTCACTGACCTTACCTTGACCTTTAGTAACCTTTAAAATGTCAACGGACATTGTGCCAATGTCAAATCAGCCAGTTGTGATTCTAAAACAATCCATCAGTGTGTCAGGTCAGTCGGCATTTATACCAATGTGAAGCAATCTCCAATTTAGCGTAAATCTGGCCGGAGGTTGTTCCTTTTATGACGTCATAACTCCGTGACCTGACATGACCTTGACAAAAAATACCAAAAGTTGCGCAAAGGATGCCCCAGAGGGCACTGAAAATTTGAGCAGGCTATCTGAAACGGTTCGGCGTGTAGCTAAGAAAAACCTCGGGGGGGGGGGGGGTGCACCACCACCCCCCCCCTACATGGGCGAGGGTTAATATCTCAGAACATTTTGAAAATAAGCGTATAAGATATACGAAAAAGTGCACAGCTTGAGGTCAATTTTGAGCATGACCTTGACCTTAACCCGCGCGGGGCTGGGGGGGGTAGATTTTACCCCCCTGTTATCTCCCGAACTAATGGTCCGATTTGGAAAATTCAAACGCCAATCGAAAGATCTCATCACGAACAACTAAAAACATGTACTTAAATTTAAGTTTGAGGTCAAGGTCAAGGTCAGGTCAAGGGTACAAATTGCAAGTTCCTACAGTATCGGCCTTGCACCGTAGTTGCCGAAGAATGGAGTCATGGACTGAGACTGATCGCCCAAAACGTGTTCTTACGCTACCAGGGCAATATTCGTTGTATACAATATCATTCAGAGGTCAAGGTCAAGGTCAGGTCAGGTCAGGTCAGGTCACCAAAAACAAAATATAGAAAAGGGCATGTGCGACACATGTTTTATGGGTCATTTTACTCATAGAATTCAATAGGCACACTCAATAAGTGATATGGACCACCTCTGGATAAATTTCAGGTCGAGGTCAGGTCAAGGTCAGGTCAAGTGAGGTCAAATTTTGAAGTTGGTTGTTAAGGCCTAAAAAGGTGTCTATCTGATGCAGTTTTTCACGGCGATTCGAATGGTGCTATTTTTGTTTCCGTACGAGGTCTAGAACTTCCAAAAAAGTCATTTTTTCAATTTTTGTGTGTGTCGTGACGTCATACAATTTTGAATAACTCCCACATTTTTGAACCGATTCTTCTAAAACTTGGTATGTAGGTGCACATAGACCACTTCTCTGACATATATTCCGGTTTTTTCGATACACTCAAAATTTTGGATTTTATAGCTATTTTCCCAAAAGTCAGTTTTTTGAGAAAAAAAAAATTGGGCCAAAATCCAAAATTTTCAAAAAACGAGATAGACATTTGATAGACAAAGTAGAATTACGTATATCCTTTTTTGTTACGTCTTGATTCCTTTAAAAATGAAGATGTTAGCGGCGTTTGAACTTTTGCCGTTTTTTAGGCGAAAATAGCGAACATGACGTCACTAAAACGTCAATTTCTCAAAAAATTTCCGACGGATTTCGCTCAAATTTTCAGGGAACGTGTCAAATTGATGTACGAAAAGGTACTGAAAGTTTGGCGGCGCTGCGCGCCACCGTTTTGAGATATTGCAAAAATTCGCGAGGGGGGGGGGGTAAAATTTACCCCCCCAGCCCCGCGCGGGATATATTCAAAGTTTAAGCACATCATCGGATTCGTCAGATTCTCTTCTGTCGTTTCCCATCCGCTTTAGCGGAGCCCGTTTCATGCATCCTGCCGTTCTCTGGAACGTCTAGTTTGAGATCACTACACACACTTGCGGATCCAGCTCAGAGTGTTGGGATGCGCTGTCTATTGGCGTAATGATAAAATTTTGCTGTTTGGGAGGGGCAAATGCCCTATTTGTCCTCCCCTGGATCCGCCACTGACTACACATATGCTGTTTTTTGCCTTTGACCTTTACCTCTGATCTTGAAAATTGACCTGAGGTCAAAAAGTATAGATTCCCTTAGAATTGTCTCGCAGTGGCCTTTCGTTTGGTTAAGTTTTTGTTTCCGTAGCTCGGAGACGGAGCTAGACGGGGGGGAGGGGGAGGGATGGGTATATATTGTCCCTCGGGCTGTGGTGGTTGGCGTTACCCCCAGGGCCAGCCGGTTTAAGTGAACTTTAAAGTTCTTTGTAAGTTCAGCAAACTAGAGGTCCTAAGTTCGAAGTCTCACTAAATGATTCTGTCGCTCGTCGGTCGAATCGAACAATAAAAAATAACATACACATCAGGGATGCACATAGCAAATGCTGAGAAAAGTCTGGCGGAGTAAATGCATTCGCTCCTATGATTCGCTGCGTAGTTTCCACTTTTAGATTCTGCGGCTTATTGGTCACTGGTCAGTACCCGTGACGTAATAAGTTTCGTATGGCGGTGTAGGCGCTTTTGATTATTTGTCGCTTGTCATTGCTGCGGCCGGCTGGCTGCGGCGTATTCGGCGTCTTTTGCGAACTTTACAAAGGAATCGGTGGGCGGATCACTGAGTCGCTGCGGTCGCTGCCTTGTTTGATTTTTATTTTTAATTTTCGGTCATTGGATAATTAAGAAGATGGCGCTCACACAAAAAAGTGCCAACAAGATCTTTGGTGGATGGCAAAAGGTGTTTTCACACAAGAGCGCTGAACTGAAATGCGCTATGAACTTCGGAGTCTTTTTGCCGGCTCAAAGTGAGACTGAAAAGTGTCCTGTGATCTATTGGCTGTCAGGCTTGACCTGCACTGAGCAAAACTTTGTGACAAAGGCTGGTGCTCAAAGATATGCTGCCGAAAAGGGTGTCATTCTTGTTGCTCCTGATACGAGTCCAAGGGAATGCAACATTGAAGGGGAAGATGAGTCGTGGGACTTCGGAACAGGTGCTGGATTTTATGTTGATGCCACTGAGGAGAAGTGGAAGGAGAACTACCGCATGTACTCCTATGTGACCAAGGAACTACCCCAGCTCATCAGTGAGAATTTCCCTGCCAATGGAAAACAGAGCATCATGGGACATAGCATGGGTGGCCATGGGGCTTTGATTTGTGCCCTCAAGAACCCAGGCATGTACACATCTGTGTCTGCCTTCTCACCGATATGTAACCCAACCCAGTGCCCGTGGGGACAGAAGGCCTTCACTGGGTACCTGGGCTCTGACAGAGCGACGTGGCAGGGCTATGATGCCACTGAGCTGGTGAAGAGCTACAGCGGCCCTGCCCTGGACATTCTGATTGACCAGGGATCTGAGGACGGATTCCTGAAGGATGGCCAGCTCCTTCCTGACAACCTGGTGGCTGCCTGTGCCAAGGCCAGCATGGCTGTCGACTACCGGCTGCAGCCAGGCTATGACCACAGCTACTACTTCATTGCCACCTTTGTGGGTGATCACATTGCCAAACATGCTGAGGCTCTGAAGTGAACATGGCTCACTGGGGCTGCAACATGAATCCAGGATTGCTGTGATGAGCAACTGCATTACTATTTTCTTTATTTGGGGATACCTGTATTCATTCAGATGGATTGCTGTCTAAGGTTGTCAGCAGTTGCATTAAGGGCTAACTGTAGGACTAACAGTAAGGACAAGCACAGTCAGGGCTAGTGCTTGATATACATGTTAAACATGTGGGCTAATACATCAAAGCAATTGTTTGCTGTTTTTGTATGGGATGGAAGTTGGGTGCTGGTGGTAGTTGGAAATTGGAATGGTTTATGAATCATTTATGGTATGAATGGTATATGAATGATGCATCTATGTTCACTTCAAAAGTAAGTTCTTTCATGATCCACAACATGGGTGGATAGTTTGTTTTCCTTATGTGCTTATCACTGAAAAATATACATTAACCCATCTGTACACACTTCCGTCGTGGCACATCGAAGGGTAGGGTGGAGGAGCGCCCTCTACCGGGCTCCTGGGCCATGGAGCGATAGCAGCAGTCGTAAAGTAATTATAACCATGCAGAAGTGTTTTGGGCTTGGGCTCAGGTCATCTAAGAAGAGGTCACCCGAGATCACACGAGGCAAATCTTTACGTTGTAGAAGTTTTTAGACAAAAATAGGTAGCTCATGTGAAGTGTTTCGGTAATGTTTTCGCATAATGGGCCTGAGGTCAGTGGCCTGCTTCCATTAGGGCAAACATCTTCCGTTTGAATCGATAGTGCTGTGAAGGACGGTTTCAACATTGACGTCTGACAAAGCTTATTCTACGCCTTCCTCAAATTAATTAGCTCCTTGGTCCTTTTCTTCGTTGTATGCGAAATGAACGAGGCTGACCTTCAAAGCATTGACTTGATAAGAAAAGATCTTATGGTGTATTGGCCTATCCGTTTTGTCGGAATGGAACGCATCCAAACTTTTCCATTGGTCTTGCGTGCTTTTTTTTTTTTTTTGCAAATTCATTGTCGACAACTACTTGCATTAGGTATATGACGAAGGCAGACCTAAGCCCTCACTTTTTCTTAAGAGAAATTTAATATTTCTTATCCATTGGAAAACTAGATAACGATGCTTGAGAGGAATTGCTTAGAGTGTCTTTCGTCCGAATTCAGACTTTTGTCGTGTCAACAGCCCTGGACGGACGTATAACGTACTTGTTAGTCGGTGCTCCCTTCTCACCGTACATCGCCCAGTGTTCCCGTTTCCTCGCGCAGTGTTCCCGTCTCCCCGCCCAGTGTACCCGCCTCCCCGCCCAGTGTTCCCGTCTCCCCGCCCAGTGTTCCCGTCTCCCCGCCCAGTGTTCCCGTGTCCTCGCCCAGTGTTCCCGTCTCCCCGCCCAGTGTTCCCGTCTCCCCGCCCAGTGTTTTCGTCTCCCCGCCCAGTGTTCCCGTGTCCCCGCCCAGTGTGCCCGTGTCCTCACGTACGCCGCCCGATTTCAGCCGAGTGGCGGCCATGCTGGCCTCTGTGACCCGCTCTCTGCAGCTGGTGAGGCTGGGCCAGAGGGCGCTGCCCGGCGCCGCGCAGCCCCTCCGACACATCAGCAAGGACATCCGCGTGCCGGATCCGGGCGTGGGTGTACAGTACCGGTACCGGGTACAGCTGCCCGAGAAATACACCATCAAACGGCTGCCCATCCAGAAACTGGCTGGCCGGGACCCCGAGACAGGTAGGCACCGGGGCGGCGGGAGCGGACGGCACGGTGTGCGGGCCGCTGGGGGGGGGGGGGGATACGTCCTATATCGGTACTCACGGACTGAGTGTTCCTCCTTCACGCTAAATATGTATACTGATGAGCTTGCATCGGCACATGTCATTCCAGTCAAAAAGATAATATCTATAATCGGCTGCACTCACCTGACGAACTTTTCGATTTAGAGTGCACCTTATGTGTGAGCATCCCTCGCCTGCGATATAACCACCGTCGGATGTCTGTGTCGTTGTCTGCCCAACCCCCAGTCTCTCAGTGTAAGGCTCTATCTACACCGTCGGCTCCCCTCCCCGGCGACTCCTGACCACCGGTGGCGCCATCTATGAGTCTGTGTACCCCCGCCACCGCTGCTGGGTCGTCCTCCCCGCTCCCCGTGACCGCTCCCCTCGCCCCAGGCCGGGTGGTCGGCACCTCCCCCGTGACCGCTCCCCTCGCCCCCAGGCCGGGTGGTGGTCGGCACCTCCCCCGTGACCGCTCCCCTCGCCCCCAGGCCGGGTGGTGGTCGGCACGCTGGGCGGCGGCAGTAAGCAGAAGTACCGCTGGGTGGACCCGGAGCGGCCGCCGCTCAGCGACGGCTCGCCGCGCCGCGAGCGCGTCCTCCAGCTGGTGTACGACGCGCTGCGCACGTGCACCGTGGCGCTCGTGGCGCACGGCGAGCACGTGCGCTACGTGATAGCCCACGAGGTGAGGCGGGAGGTCGGAGGACGCGGTTGTCACTTGTCAGGTGTTCCGCGGGAGAAACGGGCTGATCAGGCCTGCAGAATGATTGGTAGGATACCGTGGGGTTGGTAGTCTGCCAATCATGTTGTGCTTTGTGATGTTTGGCTCATAATTGGTGTCAGTGTGATCCTCTTGCTGACTTTCTTCATTTGTATTTCGATATGTATCAAGGGTTTAATTATTTCTATCGCACCCTACATTTCCCCGAGCGGCCACTGTCCGTCTTTAACCGCCGTGCTGGCTCACCCGCCCGACAGGGTATGAAGGTGGGGGACATCATCACCACCTACGGCGACATCCCGCGCATCCCCGTGCGGCCGGCAGTCGGCGACGCCCACCCGCTGGGCGCCCTGCCCGCCGGCACAGAGGTCTTCAACATCCAAAAGTACCTCGGAGAAAAGGACAGGTCGGTGGCGGCCGCACGGGAATATCGGATAGCGGGCTGATCACTCATTCTAAGGGGAGATTCAGCGACGTGGACTATGTAGTTGTGTTGATTTTGAACAACGATTGGTTTTGCTGTAATTTTTTTTTCTTCTTTTTTAATCTGGTTCTGGCTGTTTTCTCATAAGTTTTTTTTCTCATAAGTTTTTTTTGAAGAAAAAAAAAAAAACTTATGAGTCTCTGCTGTAAGTATCTAACCCGTGCCGTGCTGTGTGGCCAGGATCTGTATAAACGGCGGCACCTACTGCACCGTGCTGAGGAGGGTCGGGGACCGGGTCATCGTCATCTCGCCATCCAAGCGGCAGTTCTCGCTGCGCCAGGAGTGCACCTGTGTCGTAGGTGAGTGGATGGCCGCGGTCCTGGTCCGCCGCCGGCGCCCGCGCTGGGGGTGGGGGCGCCACGGAGTTGTTGTCTTAAACAGTAGATGCCCCGCTACATGAGCGACTTACGGGAATCTGTTGATTGGCCTCTCGCGTAAAAATGCCAGCAGTTTCACTTGCCAATGCTCATGAGCTCTGGCCATGAGCTCCCCGCGCACGTACAATCGCTGCTCTGTTTAACACCACCCACTGCCGTCACTGTGCTGACCCCGCCCCCCCCCCCTCCCCAGGCCGGGTTAGCATGCGCTTCCCCAGTATCCGACCGATCGGCTCGGCGCAGCGACTCCGCTGGCTCGGCTACCGGCCCCGCTCCGGACTCTGGCAGCGCAAGACGGGCCGGTTCGGCCGCAAGCTGCGCCGGCCGCCGCCGGTGCGCGAGTTTAGCGTGCCGCCGGCGCCGCCGCCCGAGGTGATGACACTCAGTCTGCACGACGTGCACGTGCACAACCCGAGCAGCCAGAGCCAGCTGGTGAAAACGTTCCGCGGCAGGAGCAACTAGCGCGGTCGGTGGACCTCGGCCTGACAGGAGGTACGGACGGGGGTGGCCTGAACGGACGCTGGTGCTGAGAGGGGAAACGAGTAAATGAAAGTGAAATAGTGCGTGAGTGATCAATGAACTGGTACCGGGGTGTACTTGGGCTTGAGAGAGGAGCGAAACACGAGAGAAGTGTTTTGCGAGTCCGATCGATGCAGTAGAGGCTGCACCGAGTAGCTGTAACTTGTATGAACTATGGTATTCGCTGCAGCAGTGAAATACAAACAACACATGCTCAAAATTATTATTCTTGTTTATTATTCAGTTGATGGATTTTTTTATCAGTAAAGGGTCGGTTTAATCTTGTTCTAAGCCCCAGTTACCTCACTTGGAGCCCTCTCGAACGGGCACCTGCTTGACCATACGGATACCGTCCAGTATGGTGAAAATACTCACAGTGGCAGCTCAGAGTGCACGTTTTCTCAGACATCTGCCGCTGCTCTGGATTGAACATTAGCATCTTGCATATACCGGTACACGGGCACGTTCCGCTGCGCCGTTCGTCATCTACTTTCCCAAACCCTTTCATGATAGTGTTTTCTGAAAGGGATTGTCTTTTCTTTGGCTGGCCAAGGACTCTAGATCCCCTGACATCGCCATTCCATCAACCACCCCCGCCCCAGGGTATCGGGTACTAGCCCCGGGCGATGGGTATCCGGAAGCAGGAGGTTCTGTAGGTGACGACTGCCAGCGCGGCCGCCAGCGCCGCTGCCAGGACGGCCAGCAGTGCTATGGCGGCCACCCCGCCGCCGCTGGCGCCCGCCGGCCGCGGCTGCTCCCAGCAGGAGGCCCGGCACGGCGTCTCCAGCAGGAAGGCGCTGAGCGCCGTCTGCAGGGCGGCAGAGGGCGCCGGGTCGGGCCCGCAGCCGGCGGTAGCCGCGCGCGACACACACTGCCAGCTCGAGTCGCGGATCGCGCTGTCGGAACGGGGCCACAGGACAACGGCTGAAGCGAAAACAGCGGCACGCAGTGTATGCGAATCGAGAATTAGCATAATATCATCAAACGTCAACAGCATTGGGAAGGGTGCATCCACGATTAATTAAGCATTTAATCATCATACGGAAGCTAACGCCTCCTACTTGTTATCTTTTCCTACAAGGTAGCGTTTCCTGTACTGTCCCTAAGCCATTCAAGCCCCGAGTATCGGCTCACCGGCACTCGTCGGCGTCCAGTTGCACTCGCAGCAGGTCGGCCGGATGGTGGACGGTCGCCGAGCTCTCCAGGCAGCGCAGAAACTGAGCCGGCTCCCAGCACGGCGTCGGTCGGATCAGCGCTGAAACGATCAGCGCACAGGCTTCATCAGTCTATAGACTATAACGGTAGACTGGGATTTCCTGGGTATATTTTCATTAATCGCTTGTCGTTAATGTGTTTTCTTTGTACCTGCTCCCTGTTTGCTCTGCTTCCCTCACGAGCAAAACAATCTAGAGATTTCACGTGCCCATGACTACGCCCAACACGCCCCCGATCCGGTCGTAGTCTGCCCACCAGCGCCGCTTACCTTGCATGTTAGTTGCGTCGTTGGCGCACAGATGGCTCTGCACGCTGCGCAGGCCACGCAGCCAGGCGTCGTACGTGAGCCGGCCGTCCGGGGCGCGGCAGTCGCCGTCTATGATGTCTGAAGTACAGTTGAGCGCATCGTCCAGGGTGCTGGGGGCGCCCGGAGCAGGGTAATCAGCTCTGCCACTCTGCCGATAGGCGCGGGAAGGTGCACATCCGTTTACCGGGCAATGCAGGACGGGGGTCGTGGATGCTGCTGGGAGGCGGCCCACTCCAATGCCGACGGTTCATCAAATTAAATCATTTTCACTTCGTTTAATTTTGATTCTTATTTATATTTCAAATTTAAAGCTCCAAATGCAACATACAAAGGGTCAAACACACAATGGCACGTAGGACGTAGGTAGTATTTATTGGCACAAGATGGTCAGCTTGCAAGCTGAGTAATTTTAACGATTGAGCATTTATGTGCACTGTGCAGTGTTAGCCGGGCCTGATACATTTTCATAGCTATTAAGACCATGTTGCAAATGTTTCCTCTTCGGATCCAGCTAATTGTCCTAGCTAGGTTCCTTTTTTGAGTGCAAGCTGATAGACTTTTAATAAGAGTAATTTTAACGATTGAGCATTTATGTGCACTGTGCAGTGTTAGCCGGGCCTGATACATTTTCATAGCTATTAAGACCATGTTGCAAATGTTTCCTCTTCGGATCCAGCTAATTGTCCTAGCTAGGTTCCTTTTTTGAGTGCAAGCTGATAGACTTTTAATAAGAGTAATTTTAACGATTGAGCATTTATGTGCACTGTGCAGTGTTAGCCGGGTCTGATACATTTTCATAGCTATTAAGACCATGTTGCAAATGTTTCCTCTTCGGATCCAGCTAATTGTCCTAGCTAGGGTCCTTTTTTGAGTGCAAGCTGATAGACTATTTGCTTTAGTGCGTCGTGCTGTATGTACTCGTATTTATCTGCCCCATCAAATCGTTACAAAACATCTGGGGCAACAACAGTTGTTCATATTGATGAGCGTTTACCACTTCAAGTTGTCGAATTGCGTTCACGATTTTCAAACTGCCACTTTCCGGCGCAGCCTACGAGTAACTACGGGCGTCTACACGTCTCTCGTGTCACCTTTTGGCCCGGTTTCGGCCAATCATCCCAGTCACCTGTCAAGTTTACGGCACTGTTGCCATGACGACCGGCTGACGGAGAGGGCCGAGTGGCCGGTCACATGTCAGTCGTGTGCAGAACAAACAGCGCAATTTGCGTCTGCTGATCGCTCACTGTGTCAGCTGGACTGGCAGCCGATCCGCCGAGAAACGCCGAGGAAGTCGGAACGCGGGTCACTAACGTTACAGCACTGGCTTCGGGATCTAGCGACTGGGCGGCTGCGTGCGAGAGACTCAGGAAGTGTTGATTAGTTGTGGGTATTGGGACTGAGTTCTCCAGCAACGATCTGCACAAAGGAGGAATCGATCTGCGACTCGCACCGCAGGCTCCGTTCTGGGTGAGATTGTGATATGCTTTCTGTGAGAGCTCAGTCGTCTTGTGAATCGTGACTTCGTGTGATTTGTGAGGAGTGTTTAGCCCGTGACACACCACTGGGCTTGGAGTGTGTGTCGGCGCTGAGCAAGCCGTCAGTCTGCGGATCGGTACCATTGCCAACTACACGGCGAACTTGAGCACAACTGCGATCGGGAGGGGACTCCCCGGCGCGCCGTCAGGTGAGTCCGTCGGCCCATTATTTTTAAGCCAGGCTGCGCTCACCTTTTTTAGCTCTCTGCATTTCAGCTCTAAAGACATCCAAAGATATTCCCGTTTTCAAGCGGCCTAGTCCGATTGCAAATGGCCTAAGTAGTCCATTTAGAAACGGTCAATGCCCGGTTCCAGGTCGTTTACAGACGACCCCCGACCGCTGTCCCGCCCACTTACTAGCACATGTCGACGGCGTCCCTGCCGGCGCAGTTCACGCCGCCCCGCTGGCAGGCCAGGTCCCTGGCCACCTCGTTGAAACACTTGGCCGCGATCGCGGGCATACAGTCGCCGCCGTCTGTAGGGCGAGCAGGACGGGCCCGGTCACTGAGGGGGCACGAGAGAGACAGAGGGGCTGGTGCGGGTCACACTGTTTTTTTCTACTCCTGTGGAATGCGGACTTCTCCATCGGTTAGAGGCGAATAAGACCGGGCGTAATTGGCAACTTGCTCTTTATTAGGTTAACAGAACAGAGTGGACGCTGCTGACTGAAGAGGCGCTGGATCTCCCGGACACTTCCCAGTCATAACCCAAACCGTCTTTTCCCAATGTTCAAATTGCCGTCTTCCCTTGATCCTGACGCGTGTCTGGTGAGAGAAGCAGCTGTTCTCACCTGGAGTCGGTGAGCTCAGTTGGGCCAGAGTGTCTGTTCTCACCTGGCGTGGTGAGAGAGCCTGACCTGGAGTCGGTGAGCTCAGTTGGGTCAGAGTGTCTGTTCTCACCTGGAGTCGATGAGCTGGGCGTGGTGAGAGAGTCTGACCTAGAGTCGGTGAGCTCAGCTGGACCAGAGAGTCTGTTCTCACCTGGAGTCGGTGAGCTGGGCGTGGTGAGAGCCGACGCCGTCGCCCTCGGCTGCAGCAGCGTCACGGCCAGGACGGCCAGGAGTAGCGGTCGTCCGCTCCGTGCCTCAGACGACGACATGGTGCCGGGCGGGGTCTGAGGGGAACAGGTCAGCACTGAGCGTAACAGCTGTCCGGAGCAGCGGCAGCAGGACGGATCTGGGCGTATTCATACTGCGGTCTGCTACAGACCGTAATAATCTGAGGAAACTCCCTTGGATGCCTAACGGCTAGGCCAGGCATCGTCTCGCAATATAATGGTTCGTCATGCTTGGTCCGAAACATCGCGAATAAGGCGGTTCAAGTAAAAAAGGGAAAACTGCGATCGAATACAGACCAACGGAGGCACCATTGACACAGGCTAACAAAGAGAAAATACTGAACACGCAAGATGGGGTGAGCCTACAGACCTGAAGTGTCCGCTCCGGCAGTGACCGAGAGAGCAGAGCCTCGGAGAGCGGGGCCAGAAGACGACTGCTGGTCGGGCGCTGTTCCGGCGCGCATTTCGGCACTGCTCCTGTGACCGGAAGCAGTCGCAGAGATAGCAGCGGGCGGGGGGGGGGGGGGGGCTGGAGGGAGACAGGGGCAGATAGTGCCGGGATGTGGCGGGCACCGTACCGGGAAAGGCCGCTACCGCTTCCTCAGGAAACGCGAGACGAACCTGTCAGCTGAATGGTGCGGAGAGAGCAGGGCGTATTTTAACCCGCGCCCCGTAGGGCTATCGGCGGACCCTACCACCCGTAGGGGAGGGGCCGTTTCGGCCCCCCCCTAAGATCTCGGAAAGTTACCGGCCGATTTTCAAAATTCAAACGGCGTTCGATAGCCCCACCCGGGAACTACATTGTGACCAAATTTCATTGACCTAGGTCAAACCGATGACATCACAGGTCAGGTCAAAGGTCAGATTTTCACCGTTCACAGGCAATTCAAGAAATGTGCTGTGAAAGCGAGTAAATTGGTAATTTATTGAAAACCATCGATGGTACATTGTTCGTCAAACACATAATTTGCTATCTGAGGTCACTGATACCAGGTCAGGTCACAGCGAGGTCAGGTCACCGGGGGTCACAATATAAATGTGTCGTGTGATACATGTTTTATGGTCCATTTTACATGACAAATGCGATTATGTGGGTTAGGCAGCCTTTGGGGCCAGCCTAGGTCACGTTTTGGTGAAGGTCAGGTCAAGGTCAGGTCAAATTAGGTCAAATTTCAAAGTTGATATTTTTGCATAAAATGGGTATCGATTCGATGCAGCTCGTCACGGGGAGTCTAATGGTGGTCTTCGTTTTGCTCTACGAGTTCTAGAATTGCCAAAAATTGAGTTTGAAAATTTGACGTCATCATTTTTGAACAGTTTTTTCGCTATAACTTGGCCAAAAAACGAGGTATCGATCTGAAATTTGGTATGTAGATAGAAGACGGTAGGCACTATCACATATATTCCGGTTTTTTCGAAACTCAAAAAACTTTTTGGATTTTTTGGCGAATATATTCAAAAAAATGCTTTTTTGATTTTTGGGGGTCTAAACTCAAAAATTTCAAAAATTCGAGATAGCAGTTTTGTAGCCCTGTCAATTCTACACCTTTTATGTCTTCATCATTTTTCTGTATCTTCAAAGCTGTAGTCCTGACAGGTCTTCTCGCGAAGGTCTTTTTTCGGTCGAAAATGACAGAACATGACGTCACTCTGACGTCATTTGTGGCCAACCTATCATAGCCTCTGGAAAAATTTTTGGTCACAATGTGTAAAATTGATGCCCGGAGGGGTCCTGAAAGTTTGGTGGCGATATCTCCAGCCGTTTAGGAGATATCGACCGAAAAGGACAGAGGGGGGCCGTTTCGGCCCCCCCCCCCTACGGGGCGCGGGTTAACATGTTAACTGGGTCGGCAATTGCCGACCCAGTCACGGAGAATGCCGACCCAGTGACAGCCGTTTGCCGACCCAGTTGCCGCCCCCTCTAGGATGCAGCACGCACATGCAGGCTAGGTGCCGTCATTCATATTGAGGCTGCTGCCCTCCGAAATGATAATGCCGCCTCTTAAAGTGAAGCAGCCGTCTATAGAAAGTGATGATCCCACAACTCAATGTGACAGTGCCGCCCCTAAATCTGTTAGTAGTCCCACTCAATGTAATGGTGCCGCCCTTCTAAGCATCTGTGGAGCCCCTCAATGTGATGATACCGCCCCTCAAGAAGATGATGCCGCCCCTTTCAGTATCGGTGGCGCCCCTCAATGTGATGGTGCCGCCCTCAAAGTGCCGGTGGCGCCCCTGAATGTGATGGTGCTGCCCGCCAACGAGTCGATGGCGCCCCTCAAAATGATGCTGCCGCCCCTTAAAGTGTTGGCGCCGCCCCTTATAGTGTCAGTGACGCCCTTCGAAGTGTCGGAGGAACCCACCAATATAATGGTGCCGCCCCTCTAGATATCCACATAGCCCCTCATTGTGATGGAGCCGCCCCTCAAGCAGATGATGCCGCCCCTGAATGTGATGGTGCTGCCCGCCAACGAGTCGATGGCGCCCCTCAAAATGATGCTGCCGCCCCTTAAAGTGTTAGTGCCGCCCCTTATAGTGTCAGTGACGCTCTTCGAAGTGTCAGAGGAACCCACCAATATAATGGTGCCGCCCCTCTAGGTATCCACATAGCCCCTCATTGTGATGGAGCTGCCCCTCAAGCAGATAATGCCGCCCCTCAAGAAGATGATGCCGCCCCTTTCAGTATCGGTGGCGCCCCTCAATGTGATGGTGCCTCCCTCAAAGTGCCAGTGGCGCCCCTAAATGTGATGGTGTCTCCTGTCAACGAGTCGGTGGCACCCCTCAAAATGATGCTGCCGCCCCTAAAAGTGCTGGTGCCGCCCCTTACAGTGTCACTGGCGCCCTTCAAAGTTTTGGAGGAACTCATCAATACAATGTTGCCGCCCTCTAACTTTCTGTAGCGCCCCTCCATATACATAATGGTGCCGCTTCTCAAACCATCCGTGGCGCCCCTCAAAGTGATGGTGCCGCCCCTTACAGTGTCGTTGGTGTCTCCTCAAAAGTCAAGGTGCCGCCTCTCAAAGAAATGCTGGCGTCCCTCGAAGTGTCGGAGGCGCTCCTCAATGTCATGTTGCCGCCCCTCAAACCTTCCGTAACGCCCCTCCACGTCATGGTGCCGCCCCCCAATGTGCTCATGGCGCCCATATGTGATAGTAACGCCGGTCAAAGTGCTCCTGGCAGTGTCGGTGGCGCCCCTTATAGTGTCGGTGGCGCCCCTTATAGTGTCGGTGGCGCCCCGAACAGTATCGGTGGTGGCCCTCAAAGTGATGATGTCACCCTCAAACAAATGGTGGCGCCCTTCGAAGTATCGGAGTCCCTAAATATCATACCTATTGCCGCCCATTAACGATCTGTAGCGCCCCTCCATATGATGGAACCGCCCCTTAAAGTATCCGTGGCGGTCCTTAAAGTTACAGTGCCGCTCCTTACAATGTGGGTGGCGTCCTCAAAATAAAAGTGATGTTGCCCCCCCCCCCCCCGAGTAATGTTGGCGTCTCTTCTTTAAGTATCGGAGGCGCTCCTCATTGTCATTTTGCCCCACATCACTGCTCACATGGCGCCCTTCAATGTAATGGTGCCACCCCTCGACGCTCAAAGACATAATTGCGCTCCTCACAGTGTCGGTGGTGCCCCTCAAAGTGGTTTAAGTGCCCTAAAAAAAAATTGGTGGCGCGCATCAAATATCAAAATGATGCTGTCGTCCCTTAGCATATCTGCAGCGCCCCCAAAATGATAGTGCCTTCCCTTAACCGGCGCCGGGCTGAGTTTGTTTAAACCCCCCTCCCGACCCCTATAACTTGACTACTTAGGCCACGTAGCGACACGCAGTAAGCGGTATTCGAAAGAGTGTCAAAAACTACTTGGGTTAGTTGGTTAACCGTGCTTTGGTTAGGTCAAGTCAAATGTCAAATATCAGGTGACCGGAGGTCATCAAAGGTGAAATGTGGGTGAAATGTTGTCTGTTTCAACATTTATTGACAAACTGGCGCATAACTCGGGGAAGAATAGAACTACAGCACCGCGAAAAAGCGTATTCGATAGCTCTTCAACGTTCCTATGAAGTCTTCAGACTTGACCTAACATCAACGGCTTAACCTCCAGAGCACAACTTGTTTAACCCGTGCCGGGCCGGGGAGGGTTGGAGGGGACAGTGGACCCCCTCCGCCCCTCTACTGAGCTGTTTTAATGAAGAACCTTTTTACTGTAATAATTATTGACTCTCGAAAGTTATGACATTGTTTTTTTCAGTACTGTGCTCCTCTCGTCGAGATGCGTCGAATGAACTATAATTTGACATTCAAACGTCATTTGGGAAATTTGAGCTCAGGTCCAGGTCATGACCTGGCTGGTAAAGGTCATGTTGCATATCAGTCGATTTGTATCGTCAAACTGAAATCATCTATGTAAGGTGTTTTCATCGCTCAGGCATGTCGCATGTCTCTATCAGAAGTTATTGGAAAAAACTGCTGGAGGCCTACCATGACGTGACATGACCTCAAGGACATAACGAGGGGTCGTGGGTGGCAGTTTTCCGATTAAGTGTGTCATTTTTAATTGTTTTCTGATGTTTAAATTCGTTAACTTTGACATTTGTCTACCTATAAAAAGAGGCACATGCCCTGATTTTCTCCCATTTCCTTATACCTAATGGAAGGGTCGCAAAATTGTCCTTACCTTTAGTCAGAGACATCGCAATTTCGAGACTTACATTTTAACCCTCGCCGGCACAGGGGGGGTTGATGCAACCCCCCTAAGGTTTTTCGCGAATAACTCGCGTAAAAAGCGGCCGATCGCAACGAAACTTTCAGTACCCTCGAATTGATCAATTTTACACCTACCCTGCAAATTTTATGACCCTGACTTCAATGACCTTTGACCTGTGACCTCTTTTCCGTGACCATGTTTGGCCGAAATCAAGATTCGGCGACCGGCGTATGTCGGCTCGCATTAACCGCGCGTTTGCAAGCTTTTCGTGGTTTCAAACGTTCAAACATGTGATTTGATGTTGCTCCCATGCATTAGGGTGGGTGTCAAGGTCACCTGAAGGTCAGGTCAGGTCATTGACCTTTGGTGACCTCGGTTCACTTTTTCGAGTTTTACATGTTTCTAGGCTAGTTCTTGGAGCTGAATTCGAATTTAGCCACCATTTAACATTTACGAAGTAGTTTTGGTGCCTTCGTAACATGTTACGAAGCTGTCAGAGGCGGATGACAGGTACTACGAATACCCGGTACGACCCCTACCGGTTGACCTGACCTGACCTGACCTGACCTGACCTGACCTGACCCGACCTGGTCTAAACGCTTAACGACATCATCTGTGATCAAAACTAACACGATATTTGTGATCAGCACCCCGGAAAACCCCTTAGCAGCCACAATTTACGACGTTCAAACAGGTCCCGATATTCCCGATTTTTGGGTCATTGACCTGACCTGGAAGGTCAACCGATGACCTAAGACCTTGAAATTGGGTATC